ATAACTTTGAGGTTCACATGTCGATACGGTCGTATCCCAACCAAATTCGACTTATACATGTTCACATGCTTTAAATTCGAACGGTTTATGTTCCTTTCGACGTTAGCGTTTGTTGATTCGACGATGCCATTTTGTATTCAAATTTCCATATTCAAGTAAATTCACAACGTTATTTGCATGCATCAATCCACGTTTGGCCTACGACATACATATATTTGATGTTTGAGTATGTGTCAAGCGTTTAAATGTAAATTGCGTTTTGTGATTCCAGAGAATGAGTGAGTGAGTGAGAGAGAGAGAGAGAGGCAGCTTGCAAATTCGAACTTTTTTCTGGTTATTTGCTTTATACATCACTGGCTTTGTGTTATGCAAATGGTAGCACCGAAATTGAAGTGCCAGGGAAATGTGTTGAAGCCTTCGGAGCGAATACACATAAGTGGATTAATCTGCTCAAAGGGATCTATTTCTAGCCGTTAAACATTGCCAGACGAAATGACAAACCATATCTATCCTTTGAACTTTGGCACCAAAGTGTCTAATGGATTAATGGTTATAATCTTCTACAATTACAGCTCATCCACAGAAAGAGGGGCATATTTACACCGAAGAAAATTTCAAGTACAGACTTCCAGAGTATAACTTAATCTATTTAATTGGCTTCATCTCACAAAAGCCACATTATACAATTCAATTTCACTCGTCTAATGTAATTGATGGGGAGAAATAACAACAAACACGATGACAAATTTATGAGGAATCGTACAAAGCGTTCAAGAATACCTAGTAGAAATGTGGTTTTAATGCTGTCATCTGATACTCAGATAATGGGGCTGTATGAATGTTACCAATAACTAGAGAAACAAAAGTACATTAATTAAAATATAGTTAAACTTTGTATTTAATGCATCGCATTTTGAAATGGTTTGTATGAAAAACTATTTTCACAAATTCGTCAATACATTGAACAATGCGCAAATAATAAAAATCCTTTCCTTCACATTGGTAGCTGCCATGAAACCCAATAATTCCATATAAAACAAGTGAAAATCCCTATACACATGTGCCGTTAAGCATTAATAACATTCAAAGGCTTTTTGAATAGGTTAAGTGTAAAATTGTGTATCATACATACTTAACCGTAGCAGTTGCGTCATTCCATTTTTGGCTTGCTCTATTTTATGCATGCACATATTAAAATATTTTCGTATGGGCCCAATTTTATGGAAGCCTTTACCACATTATATTTCGATTGATGGCTTAAATTACATTTTCATTCTCTGGAGTGAAGCTGTTCAACAGTGAATAATTGAATTTGTAAATTTTGACATCAAAAGCAGTGCACAAAACCGACTTACGCAATGTTCTATCTGTGCTCAAAGTAAATACACTTGCCTTGTACACTGACTGAACGAAATTGCAAACTATTCGAATCGACATCTACAGCTTGTTCGTAGATTGTTGATTATTCTCATTGTGATGCCTTTAACTGACCCAAATACACTCTTCATAAGGTATTTGACTTCACAAAATTCGACAACAGGAAGTTTTGTTGTTGTTTTCAATGATATGTATGTTGAGATTTTGGTTTAGAAAAAAAAAATACCTTTCTAAAGTTATGTTTTGAGATTTCAGCTTCCAGAAATTTATTTTCTAGCTTATAATATCATTATAATTGGCCCATAAACGTAAATTTGTCCATTATTTTATGCAAACATTGCAAACGAGACGCTTTTTGCATGCGACAAAAACTGTTTGAAATTTTCAACCAATAAATTTGACCGAAGTTCAGGCGAAAAGTTGACAATATCAACAAGTCATCTGCACTGCCATTAATTTCTAATGCATCGTAACCGGTTTTTATTATTAGATTATGCGCAACAGTAGAGAAACTGTTTGAGTTGATGACCAGTAAAAGGGACGGAAATTGGCTATTGATCGAGCGTTCAATTTGTGAATCCAAATCAAATTATTCTATGGGTGAAAAACATCAGATTCCATTTTTTGTGTGCCATACTTGACTGAAAATGGTTCTGGTGTCTGGATCGAGAGCTTTAATTTTATTGGCCAGGTTCCAAAAATCAATTTGTAGAGTTCGGAACAAAATGTGTCACAGCCTTCAATAAATTAATTGAATATTGATTCAAACAACTGCCTCATTGCAGTTTGCGGCCATTATGATCTAAAGATAGGAATCACTTTGCCTCAATTTGCAAATTACTGCCTTTGTAAGAAGGGTCCCATTTATTACGAGTAATTACAATTTCAATACGGTTCGGTGCAATAAAAAAAAGGTAATTTCTCGTTTGATGCCGTGAAAATTCGAAAAGTTATCGTTCTGTGCCAATAATAATTGCGGTTGCTAATGGAACATTCGATTGCACAGAACACGTGTACATACACTCTTTCAATGGCATAATTTTGTGGTGAAGGGACACGATTTTTATTTGTGTTGCGACAAAAATAACTTTCACCTAAGCACATTAAAGCTTCATATAATTTTTATTGCGACACAGGTCATTTTTATTGCTGTGATGCTGCACTGATACCGAATAAGCAAAGCACTTCATGAAAGAAAAAAAAATCGCAGATGGTCATGCCAATCAAGCTGACTGTGTTGCCCGACACAGACCCACAAAAATCCTCTCACGAGCAAACACTCAAGTCGAATTTAATTACGATGAACAATCAAATAACCAACGATGTTACGATGCCTCTCGGTAGATTTCTTTCATCAACATCGGTCTCTAAGTAACCACAAATACACCACAGCTTACCTTCGCTTACTCTCTTTCTCCACTCTGCACCAATTCAATACAAACTCAACGGATAATTTGATATCTCTATATTCTTCTTTTGGCAACCTAATTGCCATTGTTATTCCAGTTTATCCTCTCTAAATTGACCGAGTGATGCATATATTTTTATGAATGAAGTGGGCTTGAGAAACCGACATGGGACCAATGAAAGTCTCATTTGAGTGATGTGTACCATTATGAAATATGGTTTTGCATTCGTCTTCATTGTACTTGATTTTTATTGGATTTTCAACAGTCAAATGTGAAAGCGAGACTTTCGACGGATTTGAGCAAAAATGATCTATCTCAGGACAGTTGGTTGGGTCATTAAAATCCCTTTGGACATTTGACTCGTTTGGAAAATGTGAAAGAAAGACGAAAACTTTTTCGCTTGATGATTTGTAATTAAGAACTTCGTTATCGATTATTATGTGGCGATCCCGAGGCAAATACGATGCAAAGAGAAAGATAGAGAGAACGAGAGAAAGAGAATAAGAGCGAAAAATGGAAATATTTCGAGAAAAAAAAACCAAAGTGGATGTTACGAAATCAAACAAATTTATTTGCCAGCAAATTGCTATTTCAAAGGTCGTCAAATTCCGTTTTTCCCCTCTTCTGCGATAAGATTTAGGCGCTCTTACTGAAAGCTGGGATGGCAACAAGCAGATGAAACGAACGAAACTCAAAACAATTTAAATAAAATTACTGCTCTTTCCTTTTCGCTGTTTCTTTACCAGTTCTTTTAACTTACGTTATTATATACTTGCAAAAAGACAGAAAAAGGGAGCAAATTTACAGAAGAAAAAAATATTGACGAAAAAAATGTAAAATTCCTTTAGATTGTACCGTTCAGACGTCAGACGAAATGTAAAGAGCTGGATCCGTCTGTGTTTGAGTATTATTGTCGACATTTTATTTGCTTAAACTTGAAAAGGGAAGAGTAGAGTCGAGTGAATAAATTGTACAGTCAATGTATGTATACTTAAGTATTGCCAAGGACGCGACCCAAAACAATGCATTTGTCATCATTTTAATATGAAGATCACAAGCAAGAAAATTGCGAACAATTGTTCCACGCAAAAATGGAACAAGTTTCAAGTGAGTTTTGAATATGTACCAAAATTAGGCGGTGACACAATTGAGACAACACATTTCATGATTCAGAAACAGGAGACAGAAAAAGAAATCCAAATTTGAAATCAAACAATTTTTTTGCCTTGCATTTTATAATAAGATTCATTCTCAATATAAATATTATCAACAGCCAACAGCAAAAACCAATGAATAAAAAAATGTGCAAACGCCAGCAAGTTTTGCTGAGCCAAAATACGCACAAAAACCAATGAAAGCCCTCCGTATTCGTTGCAATCCGTTCTTTTTTTTACTGTGTTTTGCATTCAAGGATCGCGTTCACTCTTGTTTCCCGCACAATCTTTTTGAAACAATGTAAATTAAACTTTGACATTATTCTGGTCGTTTTTTTCTCGGTGCTTTCATCGCTCCAGTGATTTTTCATTAGTACCACAGGGATCGCACATAGTAAAGCAGGGCGTTCAGTTATGAAGTTTAAAATGTGGAATTAATTTTCGTTTGTGTGGCAATCAAAGTTTCCCTTCGAATATTCTGATTTGAGAAAGCATTTTTTTCGTGATGTTTTCATTCTTCTTTATGAGACACTTTCAAAATCCGTTCAAATTGATTGTATCGATTTAATCCTATTGATAACTTTAATTGCATCGTACTATTCATTTCTTTTCAGGAGCTCCAAAGTGATTTTTTCAGCAGTTAAATCGGATCAACAAGGTAAATTTCACGTTTAGTTAGTTTATATTCAAAGCATTCATTCAGCAGCAATAATGCAGCTGTGAATCTTGAACGAAGTTTAAAACTTCGCGCTTTTGACAAAGTCTTATTTTTTTGTGAATTGGAAATTGAATTCCAGTGAATCGAATGCTGAACGGTATGCTTAAGGCGATGCACATGTCTCCGCATTTCACACGGTTAGAATATCACGTTCAGCTAAAACACAAAGGAAATTAATCGGAAATAAATCCCATATGCATTAAAGTGCGAATTCACGCACATGCTTAAATCAATGTCGATAAGATGTAAGCGTCAAGTGTGTCACTCGCTTTGTGTTCGCGCCTCAAAAAATCAAGACGAAATTCACGGGAAAGCAAACAGGATGCGAAAGCGAGGGGAAAATGACACCAGGGAGCAGGCGGAAACATGCATTTAATGTCAATATCAAGGCGAAAGAAGAATGCGCATCCACACAGATGGGAGGAAATACAGCGCGCATACACATCGTCGTTCAAATATCACAGTAGTCATAGGTTTGTGTATTATTACCCCCTGTGTGGATGCGCATTCTTCTTTCGCCTTGCTTCGTACGAATAAGTGCGGCAGATATCTCGATATCTGAAATATCGTTTCGATGGCATCTAGCGTATCTGCATTGTATGCAATATAAATTTGGCGAATATTGGCACTCATTGAGCATAAAACATGGAAGAGAAAATTGAAACATAAGCCGTGGCACATGTATCGTTCATTTTTCATGAGAATACAAACAGTCGCTGTGGGATTTCTCGATGGCTTTCATTAAAATCCAGAGCCCACACACCATTTTCCGTACATCATACAATCAATTCCTGCAACAAAAAAACTTTGATATTACACATATATATTTATTTTTTCTGTCGCATACGATGGCAACATTTTTGATTACACGATCCGAAATTGATTCGATCGGAAAAGAAGAAAGTGAGAGAGAGAGAGAGAGTGAAAAATTATGATGATTCCAAACATTGAATTACAATTATTTGCAATATAAAAAAAAGCACACAGTGGTAAACGCGTCGCGAGTCACATCTGTTCGCAATTTCGTTATTAAAATACACAAACGTCGTATATTTCATTGGAACGCGTCGCTGTGGCGCAATTTCAAAACTACTGCTCATGCTTTTTTATTGTTCAATCAATCGTGTGAGAATGAATCGACGACGTTTCGAATAAGGCAAACGAATATAAAATATAGAAAAAAAAAGCTTCGACCACAAGATTTATTGCCTGTGCTGCATTAGAAAAAAGCGTGCGCCCGCACACAACGCACTCACATTCACACACATTCTTCGAACAAAATGGGTGTTTCAAAGGACTATCGTAAATGAAAAATTTAAATAATAAAACTATTTATTACTCGAAATGAAAACAAAAGGCTTCATTGTTTCTGGCCTGAAGCGTTTAAAATATGTGTTTGTGTGTTGGATCAAGTTGGGAAACGAAAAGTGAATGCTTGCTTGCTTGGTTGCCTGCCGTTCGTTTGTTGGACCATAGAGTTTGCTTTGACATGCACGTTTCAAATGCGACTTCTCCTCAATCCAGATAAATACGATGCTTTGCTGTTTGCTATCTTGATGTTTCCCTTCTCATCCGGATGCGTTTTAATATTAGCCTTATCAGTAATTCTAAATGCGTGATTAGCCAATGTTTGGCATAAATGCGTATAAAGCTAACGTTCAAGCTCTCTTCCTCTTTCATTTTATTCGCATTTTTGGGCCATTTCTGGCTTTCGATTTAAATACCAAAGAAATCACATATATTTTTTCTTCATCCATATGATAATACCATGGAAAAAAACGATCATGCCAAAATGGTTTTTGGGTGGTTCTTTCGTTGTGTAACACGACTCATGTTTCACTCTTCGAATATCAAGTTGAGCAAAAGGGCTCTTGAGAATCCAAGAAGCCTTAACGCAAAGTGCTTGGCACAAAGTTGGCAGAAAAACAATTCGTTGATGTTTCAGTGGTGCGAGTGCGTGTCAGTGAGTCAGTCAAGCAAAAAGCTGCGTGTGTATCTCAAAGAAAATATCTATTTATTGTTTGTTGATATATTCCAGTGTACGCTTAAATTAAACGCTACACGAGCGAGCAATAACAACTAGGATATGAGGCAGTTAGAGCTGTATACAATTTTTGCAACAAAACTTCCGCGACACTCACAACAGCGCATTCATTTTCTTATCTCATTCGATTGTTTTTTGAAGACGCATTACTGCCGCGTCGCAGCACACATTCCCATACACACATGATACCAATTTGATGAAAGAAAAAAAACAACACCATACAAACAACCGGAAATGTGGTGTATAAACCAAACCACCCCACCACATACGACATCGAAGAACATATCACGAAATCTGAACAATTTTCATGACTATTTTCACTTGTCAAAAACGGCAAAACAGAAGCACAAACATAGGAGAGAACCTTTGATGATATACACAAAGTGGAGGGCGGGCTGTGCCGCAGTATGTATGTGTGAACATCGCGTTACGCAATTATTATTATTTACGTTCTCTTTTATCAGCCAATATTTGCTTGGGTTGTGATTCTTTTTCAACATCACAATCGAACAAACGATGATGGAAGCGGAACAAACCAATAAGCGCACAATTGGCTGGAATTAACGATGAAACACAAGAGCAAAAGGTCACCAGTAAATTCACACAACTATTGTGAACTACCTCTATGGCAACGATTGAATTCGTATCAATACGCTTCCGTTTGTATACGCTACTTTGGTGCGTTCCGACATTTTTGCTTTCGTACCATCTATTCTTAGTTATGTGCAGAGCACGAGTTGAAGGCGGAGAACGGAAGCTACAAAAAAAATTAGGTTATATCATAGCATCAAAGATGTGCGCGAGTGCGGAATGCTCATTTCATTGACAGAAAATTAAAGTTGTCGCGAAACTTTCCATAAATACAAGCGATGTTGGAGTGCTGTCATCTAATTCATTTCATTCGAATGTATTGGGCCATATCGATGTCACAAACAAACTCACACATGTTGTTGACGTACCTTATTTTTGCATTACCCCCGCCATTGCCACCAATGATGACGAACGGGAAGACGTGGAAAAGAATCAGGATGGGAGTGGAAACGCGAAAGGAAAAAAAAGTGAACAATTTGAAAGAAGATTCAACAACACAATTTTTCGCTTATCGGATAGCATTGTGATCCAATTTTTTTTTCTCTGTTCGTTCTTTGCTCCATATAAATATACATTCTATTTTTGTAACGAACACGAATGCCGCAAACGCTGAAAATACTCCACGTTATTAAACACATTCATTTTACAGCGTGAATTTCAGTGGTTTTGGCAAAAGAATTCCATCTTTTCTTCCTCTCGTTTGGCGCTCCAGCAAAACGAAATGTGTATACACACAAGCACACAGTGAGAACGAGGGCATATTGAAAAATGACGCAAAAGACGCGCAAATGGTTTTACAAACATGAACATCGAATATTTGCGGCAACAAATCGAAATTTGTTTGCAGGAAACATGTGTTGATGCATGTTGATTTTTCTCTTGTGTGCACACGGAATGAGAAGCAAAGAGCTTCTGGTTTCATGTTACGAAATCTTGTAGAAACATTTTCTGCCAAAGGTAAGCAGGCGAACACGAAACAACAACATGACGAGAGAGAAAAAAACGAAGTACACGAAGAAAACTGGGAAAGAATTTCGATGAAATGCCATTTTATCGACGTAAAAGCTCAATATCAAATGAACAATACCGCACACACCGATACAAGCCACTATGTTCTTTTCATCTCTTATCTTTTTCGATGCAGCAATATATTCGCGAGCACAGAATCATGAAATATGAGCACTGTTTGTCGTTAAAGAAACTCGATTTTCATGTACGCCCTCATACATTGAATTTCACTCGTGCATGTGTAATATTTTAATGGGTTCTCTCATTGGTGTGATGGAAAATCACCTCAAAGTGTACACGACGACAACTGAAAATGCGTTTTTGAAATGTGTTGGAAAATGAAATATTTTCCATTGCTGCTTGGTCGTTGCAGACAAACACATCAAAATATTGACCGACACCAAATAAATGAGAGGAACAAAGAGAGAGAGAGAGAGAGAGAGAGAGAGAGAGAGAGAGAGAGAGAGAGAGAGAGAGAGAGAGTGAGATGGTACACCGACATAAGTCTACACGCACCACTTATTCAGACATAAACAAGAATTTTATTGTACTCCGTTGGATAACATCGCTCACGTTTTTGGCAACTTGACAATTTTCAACCATGAAATGGTCTGACCATAGTCTGACTGACTCAAAAACCGAATTAGACACGGGAACAACGTTAAAATATGTTCCATTTGATTTTGACTTAGTAACGATGGTTTTTGGAATGCTTAAATTCGGTCTGTCGGTTTTCTTTTAACGATCGACATATTCGATAGCTCAGACGACTGCTGCAGTAAACGCTGCCGTTATTTTTTTGCAATCAGTTTCCATTTTTAATCCATTCATACGGTTATCAACCATACATAAAATCGCGCTTGACTGCGCTTAGCCATAGAAAATCGCCTCACATTCATGTGTTGACATTTTTCCGCACATTTTTTTCGCTTTCACTTCATTAAAATCGTTCACCAGACGACGTAATTCGAAATAAATTTCAAAAGACGGCTGTTCATCGCCTCTGCTCAATGATGCCTATGTGTATTGACATTAAACGAAAATGGAAAATAACATGATTGTAACAGCGGCAGCAACGACGACAGCGCCAGAAAAGAATATAATCTTGAATATTACAAAATTGAAAGCAATTGTTGTAATGGACTTTTTCGCCGCCAAATCGACACTCTGGAGGCATATAACTCAACAAGAATATAAAAAAAAGAGAATAGAACGCCATTCATAAAAATAAAGTAGATGAAACTGAAGAAAAATCAATAAAGCTCAAAAGCGTTTGTCAAAAGAAGAAAAGAGAGAA